TCACGCACACTGATTTAAGACATCAATTCAATGTAAACTTTGTTTTTTAAAAAGTCTATACTACTTCATTCTCCCCAGAACACATAAAATTTACACAGAGAGAGAATTCATATACAAATCCAAGAGCTTCCACATCTCTAGGTTCCTTCCCCACATCCTGCATTGTTTTTCCAGTAACACACAATCATAACTCATTATCTCTTTCAGTGGAAATGAGAACAAAGACATTCTATAAAAACAAAAATCCTCCACATTTCTATTCATCTCTTTGTATATTCAATGGCAAAGTTCATACAGCATCATTTGTTTATTAAAAAAAAAAAAGCACAACTGAGCATGTACTTATAAATCAATTATTTGGGGCAAGAAGAATGGCTGCTTTATATTGGGAGAAGGAAAAAAACTCAGAACTACTGTTAAAGGCTAGCTGTGAAAAGTGCTCTTCAACAAAGCAAGAACTATAATCACGTTTCATGCATTCTTCCCCCTACTCCTTAGCTCTGCCATTTGCAATGTATGCAAATCTGTATGGACCTGGAGGTTTCACTCAGGCACAGGGAACTGCAGCCTCCCCATTGTCTCGCCTTGATGCAGTTCTGTCAGACCTGCTTTAGGTTCCAGACAACCTTTGGTCTCTGTTGCACACCAGCAAAGAGCTAAGCAAGTCTGTAAAAGTTTTTCCTCTCCTCCCTGCTTTCCCAGTAGAACTGGCCATCTCCATAAACCCTCTCCTGCTTTGCATATTCTTTTCCGTCTCCCAGCAAAGAAATCAGATGCAGTAACATCACAATTTCCCAGTCTGCTAATTCCATATATTTCCAAGTCACTTCCACACCAGTGCTTTATCATCTACACATCTGCTCAGCCTGTACAACCCTGCAGCAGAACACACAACCAGGCTCCATACAAGAAACAGGGAACCTGCCTGTCCTTGCAATGAGGCCAACAGGTACTAATTTTGCAGCAGTGTTCAATCCTCTTTACTCTGCTTCATATATCGGCTAATACTAATTTTTTTAAGAGGATCAATGCAGAAAGTGCCTAGTGGATTATGAGTTCAGTGCTGTACATGAATAGAGACAGAAAGAAATAGGTGGAAGAGCAGAGAAAGACAAAAAAGGTGTCCACTATTACTTGTACCAACAAATTTGGCCCTAAACTTCATACATGGGCTTCAATTAACTATATGTACAATCTTTATAAAGATTCTTAAGTTCCTTATCTGCTTACATCTGCAGATTTTTGTTATTATTTTCATCTGTTTACAGTTCTTTATTATTTTGTCATCTGTTTTGTTTCCCTCCTCCGAGCCACAAGAACTGGCTCCCTCAGTACAGAACAACACACTCTTGAAGTAAAGGCTGCTGTCTGGTGCTTTGAAAGAATTATGTGTCCAAAGTCTCAGAGTAACAGTACTGGAAAAAACACTCATGACCCTTCATTCAATACAAGTCTTCTTTTCCTCCTCCATCCCATAATAAAAAAAGAGAAAGCACTACATTTACTGAAAATAAATTCTGGTATATTTATTAATTTTGTTTTCAGAAACACAGACATGTCTAGAAACTTGCTGCACCACAACTTGGTGTTACAGGGAGCAGGAGGAAACAGAGCTCTTGGACACCCTTGGCTAGAAGAGGAGCTCAACACACTTCTAACTGCAGGCAATATCCTCCCTCATGGTGAAACCAGCCTACAGCAGCACATCCAGAAGCTAAACAGGCTTTTGCATTCCTGGAACTTTACAGAAAGATAAAAGAATATAAAAGCTTTTTGGCCGGAATACAATTAAATGTAAGACCTCATTAATCCAGTTCTGGACAGCAAGATCCGTAACTTCCCAATCCTGGATGACAGCACACATTAGTCTGAAATAGGAGGTCCTACTTTTTCTCTTTGTAGCTGCAGAGCTATGAGAACAGAAAAAGTAATTATTGGTTCCTTTCATCAATTCATCCAAGAAACAAGGACAAAACCTCCGTATCAGAAGGAAAACAATTAAAACAGCTTCCACATCTAGCCTGCACAGCTGTATCAACACACTGGCAAGTTAACTGCAAATGGAAGCTTCAGCGGTGCCTTTTGGCATTCCCAAGCTCCCTCTGGTAGTACTCAACCAGAAGTTGAGTTGTATGCTCCACTGAAAAGCAGCTCTTCAGCCACTTCATCCTCCCAAGCTCAGGACACAAGTAAAGTTTTCTCATGCTTTTCAATACACTTCTTTTATCTATCTACCTAGACACTCAAGCACAGGACTACTAAGCAAAGACAGATGAAGAAGACCTTAGAAAATACTGCTTTATCATCAGAGAAATGACTAGTTAGAAAAAAGGAGGCAGAAAACTTCTGAGAAAAAGCAACCAAACAAAAAGCCAAAGGCACTTCCCAGGTCCTTGTTTATTATGCAGGTTCCCAAATGAGCATACCTTTCTTCAGTTAATTAACATAGCATACAGCAACTGAGTACAAGGCACAACAGAGAACACTCCCTCACCAAACTGTTTAATATTACCACAGTGAAAGTTTCCTATCTGCTTTCCTTGTTTTCGTTTCTTTAAATCTCCAACCTTACTCTTACATGCTACCCAGAATTTAAAATACTGTGAAAAATTGTCTTAGTCATGTCTACAAGTACTTGATTTTTAGTTTAGTAAGACTCATAGTAGATCACCACCCATCATGAATAATGCTTTCATGGTCATATACCTTCAGAAGCTACTTTTCAACTCATTTAAATCACAGAATATGAATTCAACAAGACCCAACATTTGGAAGCACTGGAGGCTTACAAGACATGTTAGTCAACTTTGGTAATTATTTCATTACCTTTGCACAGTAAAACCTGGCATAAGTAACTTCACCTCTGCACATTCAGAACTTTATATTCTTGTTATCTACAAAATGCCTATTGCAACAACTAGCTTGGGATTCCCTTTTTTCTGGAGAAAACCAAAACTAAAAGCAATTGGTGGAGTTCCAAGATAACGTAACTATGATAGAAATGCTCCAAGATTTTATTTCTACTGATTTAGAGTCCTACTTTAAAAAGTCATCCTTAAAAATGAGATTATGGAACAACCACCTATCAACTTACTCAATACCTTTTGCAAAGCAGGTGACATATGCAAGTATTACATCTAATGCTAGCAGCCCAGAACAAGAACTGATTTTGACATGGACTGAATGAGACCTCCCACTTTCTTCACTGCAAGAAAACAGCTAGGAAAATGCATTTTAAAACGAAAATATTCATTTAGCACACACCCCCTAAGACAGCAAGAGGACAAGAGTGTGCTGTAGAGCAAGCACAGTGCAGCCTTCAACTCCACCCAAGTGGCTTTCAGCGGATGACAGATCCTCTCGAGTTCTCCAGCTCCTCCCCAGCAAAAGGCTGCATGGAGCAGGGAACTTTGAGGTTCAGCTGCACAGGAGGCAGGCCAATATGGGATGCGCCAGGGCATCCAGAACATCTCTTCTGTTTGCAGGACCTCTTAGTGGTATAAATCCACATATTTTGGCAGGGTACTGCTGCATCCATACAAGGTTAACAAGAAAAGTTAGAGTGTTTAGTGTGATAGCTGTTTATGCAGGGACTGGGATGGGGGGAGGAGAGGAGACTGAATCATAATACCAGCAGAGAGATGGCAACACAGCATATTAAATTAAGCCTGTGGGCACACCTATCCTTAAGAGTGTCCAGAAAAACCTCTGAATCAGTGTTCGAGTTTTGAAATAGAACCATTCATATCAAACAATTTGTTGTGGAAGTAGCTACCGCACTCCCCACTAGCTACAATTGGGTTTTTTTCCCTTTAAAAAACAAACAAACAAAAAAACACGAGAGAAATTTAAAAACCAGCTATAGACCTATTTTGGTAGGTATGAATGCAAGCAGCTTTTGTCAGCAGACTCTGTGTCAATTCTGGATCATCGAAAAAGGTATATAAAGTAATTGCTTCAGAGGAGAGGGGAGAGATGGTGAAATACTCCCTCTACAAGCCAAGAGATGATAGTAAAGACAGAGTTCATCAGTCAATCCTCTAAGAATATAAACGCAGTAGAACATTCCCATGCCATCCGTTTGCTTCCAGTGGAAATAGCCACCTATAAGTCATCTCTGCTACCAGAAAGAATGAGTGGCCATCCATACATGGCCTGCTCGTCCCAGGCAGCACACGGTACAAACACTCCTCCCTACCTACAGCGTTTCACCCGACACAAGCCACTCGGCTCTCCCTTACAATGCCCCTTTCTAACTCCGTTTGTAAACGATACTCCCACTCCGGCTCGGCTTCCACATTCGCCATCCACGCAGCCAGCACAGCTTCCTTTAGGCGCACTTGCGTAACTGCCTGAGCTCGCACTCTTTCTAATAAAAGAAGTCATAAAAACTGTTCTCTAACAAAACCTCCATACAGGTATCCAAAAGGGAGTATGAGATCAGTAGCTATTTCTGAGCCTAAGGGGCACACGGCATTCAACAGACGTGTGCTAATTACTGTGAGAACTCTAATTTTGTTTAAAAAAAGACGCGTTATTGCTACATTGATTTCCAGAGCTACTAGAAATATCTGGGTGCTATAAACTTAAAGGTTTCAACATTTAAACATTTTTAAGCCGAAGTAACTCTCTATAAGAGGTACATGACAATAAAGACATGAAGGAAAATAGGAAAATGTTTCAGCATTAAACCGGAAAGCAGACTTGAAAAATCCCTTCGATCTACAGATCCATCAGGTTCCCTCCTACACCAGGGCAGGATGAAAATTCTGTTCCCCTCCCTGCAAAAGGCAGTCATGTAATAGAAAAGACTGCAACAATGAAGTTACCACGGCTGCATTCATCCACTCAAATCCTCTCCCTTAAACGCCCATGATGCGTAGTTCTTTATACGCGGAAAACACCACGCAACAACCCACACCTCCGGGAAGCAGTGAAGACATCCCCTCAGAATTAGCCGAGAGGCAAATGGGGACATAAGACTCTCTCTTCACACGTACCTTGCAAACTCAGCACCTCCGTGGAGATCCGATTTAAACTCTCCTGACAGCTAAAAAATAAAGCAGCACATAACAGCTCTTCAGAACACGTGCAGCCGGTTACCCGACAGCAAGCACCCGGTACCGCGCACGGCTCTTCGCTCAGTGAGGGACGCCGGCTCCAGGCAGACAGCGGCCTCCCCGAAGCGCCGGGACACACTCCTGGCAACCTGAGCTGCTGGCCCTTGGAAACCGACAGCTCCTCAGCCGGGCGAGAACGCCTCGCATCCATCCTCACCACCCTCGGGCGCGCCCCCGGCCCCCGTCTCCGCGGCAGGTGCGGCAAACGCGGCCGGCGGGGCCCCGACCGCCACCCCGGGCACGCACCTGGCGGAGCCGCAGCCGGCGGGCGGCCCGTCGCTGCCGCCGGAGTCAGCGGGGCTCGGAGCGGGTGGGAGGAAAAGCAGATTTATAAACCTGGCAGCCCTCGCTCATTTGCTGCAGCTGGAGGCTCCTCCTCTCGTCTCGCTCCGGCCGCGTCGCTGGCGGGGGCTGCCAGCGCCCTCGCCCCCCGCCCGATCGCAGCGGCGGCCGGGCCCTGTCAGGCGGCAGGACGGGCTGCGTTCCGTAGCTGCGGCCGCGCCGCCCGCTCCCACGCCCGGGTCCCCCAGCCCCGCACCCACCTCGGCGGGAGAAGGCGCGGCGGGGCCGGACGGTCGCTGCCCCAGCGACGGAACGCTCCCTCACCGCCGCCGCCTCCTCCCCGGCCCGCCTCGCCGGGCGCTCCTACCTGCGGGGGGCTGCGGCGCTCCCCTCGCACGGCCCCCGCCCGCCTCGGCGCCCTCCCCGCGGCTGGGGCTGGGCCGGCGCAGCCCCCTCCTCCCGCGCCGCTGGGGGCAGGGTGGCGGCGGCGGGAGGGGCGGCAGCGGGAGGAGGAGGAGGAGGAGGAGGAGTTGGTGCCCGTGTGTAACAAGTTTGGGTTGCCCCGCAGTATGGCGGCCGAGCGGAGCTGGGGGCGGACCCGGCTGGGCTCGCTCCCGGGGGTTTGGCAGGGGCCTGAGCCGCCCTCAGCTCGGCGGTGCTCGGCCCTTCCCCCGCGGGCGGCGCGGCGCCGTTAACGGCAGCGGCGCTGGGGGACATCAGCCCGGTCTCGGCGGCGGCGGAACCGCTCCCCCCGCGCCTGTCACTGCCGAAAGCAGGTGCGGCGGACCGCAGCCCGGCCGGGCCGAGCGGGAGCCGCCGCCGCTCCTCGCACCCGGTGCCACTTGTCGCGTTCCGCCGCTCCTCCGCCGCCTCTCCCGCGGGCAGGATAGATCCGCTCGCCGCAGACCGCAGGGAAAACCGCACCTGGGATCCAGCCTTTCGGTACCAAGGGAATGAAATAACCGGTAGTAGGCATTCCACTAGAATTACTGCACCTTAAAGGCATAGGTTCGCTTAGGTGACTGCTCGGCGGTATATAAAAGGAGGGCAGAAAATAGGTCAGTAAATGCACAGATCTCACCCGCGGTGCTCCTGCTGAGTCACTGATGAGCGATTGATTACCATCATGTCCCTGCACGACTGGCGTGACTGTTCAGATGAATGGCATGGACCAACACATGGGTGTCTGGTTTTGGATTGGGGTTTGGTTTGGGTTTTTTTATTGCTGCGGAACAGGTGATACCAGTGTCATGAGATTGCCATAGTTTGGTTAGCAGTAGTCATTGAAGCAAGACTGGACAAAATATTTAGTTTGTCAGATAATAGCACTTGCTTTACTGCCTGACCTTTAAATTCCAGCATTACACAATATTGTATTTTTACAACAACATGCTAGTCAATCTCTAATAATTCGTATTAGCTGTAGGTAAGAGATAACATCAGGAAGAAATCATTGAGGAGATCGAGCCTCTTAAAGCACGGAGACATGATAATAACTTCAGATTAAGGAAGTTACATGCAAAGCAACCTTGATATTTCAGGGTCTACAAAATGGTAGTGTCTGAAGGAGGGTATTAGCATAGCCAGCAAACAGTCTGTTGTGTGGTAAACAGTGGGAAATGAGTTTTCCTGCACTACATTTTCAAAATGGTGATGTAACAGTCCATCTTAACAATGGATAACCAGTGTTCATCACCCCATTGACATCAAATATGGCCATAATGCCATCAAAACATTGGATGTGAAGCATGGAGAAGAAAGTAATCATACCCATAATCATCTGGGAGATGTCAGCAGGAGGGGCTGAGAAGCCATGGCCTGCAAGGAAGGGGCAGAACCACTTCTGATGATTAACCTGAGTCTTACAGGGGCGTAAATGAGAGGGTCAAATGAACCCATGCCAGACAATCCTTGCTGAAAATACAGTAGCATGATGAAAAGTCCTTATCGTATTGTATTTGGTAAATTGCTGTAATTTATACCATGAGAAGATTAATCTGCATCTCCACTGGGACTGACTGCTGGTATTAATATGCTGGCAAAACCCTCCAGTGTAGACAAGACTTTAAGAATGTCCTGAGGGAATACAACTATGAAATTATATTACAAGGGAAGAAAAAAAGATGCTTTTTTAATCTCTCATTTTACAAAATCTAGGCTTGGGCAATTCTTAGCTCTGAGTAGGAAAATCACAGGGATTTTGTCAGGTTTCCCCATGAAGCCTGCAGTCTGTACAAATTTCCAAAAACAGGGAGTGGCACAAGGGAACTGGAGCAAAGGCTAGCACAAACACAAAATTTCCATTATTTCTGACTCTATCCAGGTAATATGTCATTACCTTTTAAGAATTATATTGTTAATTTGTATGAAGTAGCTTTCAGTCTCCATTCTCAGCGAAACCTGGAGAGTCTTACAGACTTGAAGGTTGGAGGTAAAACAAGGAATTGATATTTGTACCTTGTCAAATGGCAAATTCTCAATCACATTTAGACCCTTCTTTCAAGTATATATTACCAAATTGGATTTGATGGGAAAGAGAAAACACTAGTAATAACAGTGTTGGGAACTTACAGCTGGTACCATGAATTGCACCACTGAAAATTCTTTTTGGTTACAGTTATAAGTCATTTCTTTCACAGGACTAAGAAACAAATGGCCTCTGACACAGATTTGAGAAACTTTCCAGAGGTCTGTAATGTTAATCTGGGTTGTATATTAATCTGAGCTAGTGATGTAGGGCTGAAGACACTGGTCCTCATAGTAATTATAACTGATTTTGTTTTCAAAAAAAAGATAATAATCTTCCAAATGCTGCATGCTGTTGCAATGAGATCAAATAATGAACAATTGTTAATACATGTCCACATCAATTCCATAATGAGTATTCCAAGGACACGGAGGAAACATGCTTTTAAAAACCTCTACTATAAACATAATAAAGTCTAATCTTCAAAAGGACACATAATGCTTTCTGCAAAGTAATAGTATATAAAGACTGCCTCAGTCCTAACACATTTACTTCAGACAATGTGTTGGGGTTGAATATACAGACGGGTATTTTAAGTCCAGGCAAGCTGTGTCAAATCTGTGCCAGGAAAAATAGATAAGCAATTAAGAAAGAAAAAGGGGTTAAAGAAAGCTGTAACAACTGATGGTGCTCTTAAACCTGCAGTCCTTAATTAAACTCGCAAACAAATAGGCTGCAGGATAGAAGATACAGGGGCAGAGTCAGGACTGAGAGAGACTAAAACTGTCTCAGAAGCCAGGTCTGAGACTGAGGGCAGGTCTGTCCAAGAGTGAGTGAGTGAACAGGTGGTAGGTTTTTAGTAAGTCAGTGAAAAGGGCATTGAACATGCCCAGAGGTTTGCAAACCGATACATAATACAGGGAATAGGTCAGTAGCAGGGTGCGTGGGAGAATGAATGGATGAGAGAATAAAATAAAAAATAGTTGGGTTGAATGAGTGCAACTGTGAACAATTCTGAATAAAGTCAAAGTTTCAAGCTACACCTTTATATTGCTATGATGGCGTGACTTTTCAAATCACTCATCATGGATATAAGCCAGCATTAGAGGAAAGCAGCACACATTGCTGAAAAAAAATCCCTTTTCACTACCAATTGTGGGAAAATAACATAATAAAAATAAGGATTTAAAATACATTTTACAGTCATGACAATAAAAACAGTTTTAGAAACATTAGTACAGAAAAATAAGCACGCAAAAGGCATTTAAAAGCATTGTCCAATAAATTAATGTTGATTATTAAGGTACTAGAATTGATATAGACCTAAAATTATTTGCAGATCAGGAAGATACCATTAACTATCCTAGTTAGGAACCTGATACACAACTGCTGAAAGTGATTTGTGCAAGATTATACAGTAGGTGAGTGACAGAAACACAGATGGATAAAGCCTTGACCTTTTACTTTTGTATCCTCCCCATCAGGCAGAGAAAATGCATTGACTTCACTTTGCAATTACAGAGGCAGTGAAACTAAATTATAATAGTCAAGGAGTTTTATCTCCTGACCTTGGGGTTTTTTGGGTTTCTTTGGACTGAGCACTTCCTATATCATTATGGATAAACATGGCAATTATACACTCAGAGACTTTAAAACTGTCCCTGTATTTACCATGTTTGTATGCCTAAGAGAGAAGAAGAGGGAGCTTAGTAAATGCTACACAGACATCTGCATTTAGATGATGTAGAGTAGGGGAAGTGCATGTCTGGATGACATGGCAGAGGAAGGTCTTTTTCTCTGCCTTTGGTGGATCTGTGTGGCTAAGAACACTGTAAAGGTCACAGAGAATATTTTCCTTTTCATTTCCTAATCTGGAATAACAGATTTAGGGGAGCTACAGTGTAGGTTAATGTCTAACCATAGTTAGACATCTGCAGTCTAGTCTATTAAATGTCACAGCTCAGCCTATTAGAAAGTTTGCTAAAGGGATAAGGGACATGGTGGATTTAGGGGAGGATGGCAAAAGTGGTAGGGATTCCTCTCATTCTGATGCTGGGTCAGCATTTGTATTTTACAATGAGATATTACTAGCAAATTACATTAATAACATACTTTGCTCCTAGGCAAAACAACGGCAACAAATATTTTGTGTTTTCACTTACCAGTGTCCAAATACAGAGCCTGTAAGTCTTACACCAACAGCTAAGTTATGTGCATGGTTACAAAATTAAGAAACTAACCAGTCCAGTGGTCTTTTCATAGGAAGATGGCATGGAAAGACTTAGAATCAACAGTCAATGAATAAAAAATGAATGATAAAAGACACTTTATCCACTCTACATGGTGGAAGAAGTGCATGGGCTAGTGAAGGAGGCACATGTTTATTAATGAGAAAAATAATAAAAAAGGTGTCAGCAGTGCTTACCTCAGGGGACAAGGTCAATGAGGCAACATCAATAATGCAGTACATTAAGAATAATGAAGAAACTAAAACTCAATATATTGTTTTTATGTTTTTTGAAAATGCAGTTACACATTTCCAAAAAGATCAAAGTAATGAAAATTGTTTAATGGAGTCATCACCAATCACAGGAATCATTTCTGATTACGTGTTTTTCATACATATAATACCAATATCAAACTATTGGTGTGGGGTAACATGTGCTAGTCATGAATAAATATGAAACCAGAGAGGTAACAAAAGTGTTCTGTTGTTAATACAGGGGAAGCAAATGTAGGGTTTGAGAATAGTGGATTAAGACATTT